TCTAGCTCACTGATGTGGTCCTCTGCTTCTTCTATTCTACTCTCTTGCTTTCTATTGAGTCTTCATGGTAGCGATGTCATTTTTCATTTCTTCTTAGTTCATCTTCATTTCCTCTTGGTTCTTTTTCAATCCTCATGGTTCTTCATTTCTTCTTGGTTATTTTCAAATTTCTCTTCCATTCTTTTTAGCCATCTTATGATCATTACTTTGAATTCCTGCTCTGGTAGGTTGCTTGCCTCTAACGCGTTTATTTCCTTTTCTGGTGATGCCTGGTTTTCTTTCATGTGCGAGCCTTTTCTTTGTCTTCTATGGTCTCACTTTTCAGGATGTCTGGTTATGTGGTTATCTTTCTCCGGCATTGATTTAAAGGCACAAAATACAACACTACTAGGTACAACACAAAAAGCACTGAACAAGAATGTATTTGTGATATTAATATGCTCTACTAAAGGTGATCACTAGAGAGAGGCAAATTAGGGGATAGGAGAGAAAGAAGAAAGGTAAAAAATAATAATAAAAAATATAAAAAGGAGTGATAAATAAAGAGATAGAAAAAGAAGAAAACAAGTAATGTCAAAATGAAGTTGGGAAACAGGGAGAAGCAGAAAGAGAGAGAGAGAGAGAGAGAGAGAGAGAGAGAGAGAGAGAGAGGAAGAGAGAGAGAGAGACAAAAGCTGACTAAGAGAGAAAGGGGAAACAAACTATAAATATATGTGGAGAAAATTCCCATAGAACAACCACTAATCCTAGCAAATGCTAGCAATAATACTTGGAGATTAATACAAACTACAATATCCACTATTATTAAGCAAGGCTATGATAAATAGAAGTAAAAAACAATCAAAACCAAAGAAATTTAAAAAATATTAAGCAACAATAACAACAGAAGAATAAGCCTAACAATTTCACTAAAAATCATAAAAATTCACTGTAATCAATATTCATATAAACAACAACAAAATGATAGAGAGGAGAACAATTTTTTTAACTAGTTAATATAGTGAAGAGAGTGGTATTTATGCACTTGGAGCAGAGGTTTGGAAATTAGATCTATAAGTATGGTTAGAATTTTAGCAGGGGGTATACAGAAAGAATAGGGAACAACTAAAGCTGGAAAGTCATAAGATGAACAGGAGACAAAAAGGGTAAAGGTTAGTAAGAGAGTGATGTCCTAAAGGTCGAGTTGAGATAGGGTTGAACGATGCTACAGTAGAGATTAAAATAGAATGAAGACTAATCCCAAAGTAAAATAAAGAGAAAGTAAAATGGTTCTGAAGAAAAAAAAGAAAAGAAAAAGGAAACAAAAAAATACAATATAGCAGTAGTAATAATGATGATTGAAAATTGAAAAATGTAATAATTGAAAAGGTAAAATCAAGTATGGAAAAAGGGAAAAACAATTCGTTTCTTAAGTAAAAGATGTAAAAAATGAAAATAAAATAAAGAATAAAAAAATTAGCATAAAAATGTCCAGTAGTGGTCATTCACTTCCTCTGTTATTCTATTTGGCATGTCTGATTCTCAGTCCAGACAGTATTACAGTTCCCAGCATTCCACTGTATCTCAGTTTTGTAAGCCACTCCTTAATTTTAAGTAGGCTATATCTTAGTTATTTGTGTTCCTTTATTTTTGATTAATTAAAAGTAATAAAAAATTAAAATTAAAAAAAAAGGAAAGGAAAAAAGGGAAACAAAAAAAGTCAGTTTGTAATTCAGCCCCTAGGTGGCAGTGTTTCTGGTTTAACTTCCCAGTCTTTTTGGTTGCTCTAGCCTTCTTTCTCTATGGCTCTATGTTTCATCCTAGAAGGTGCTGGCTGGCCCCCAGACTGTCCTTTCTCGCTCTGATCCCCTGTTTCCAGGAAGGCAATTTCCCCCTGCAGTCTCCCAGGATATGCCAAACTGGGCAGTCCTTTCCTAGTACTCAGAAGCAAGGAGGTGAAGGGGATCAGGCGCAGGATGTGTCTGCGCCCAGGTATCCAGATGTTCTGCTTTTGGCGGGATGGTCCCGATTCTTAACAATTTGTCCTGCATTCCTTGGTGTTTTTAAAAAAGACCAATTTTTGGGAAGATCACGCCAAACCCAGCAGTGGGGCCAGCAGTGCGTGACTCCTGCTGCAGCCGCTGTCTCCCTTGGCACAGCTCCCGGTACCGGGCCGCGTGGTGCCAGGGTCACTCATGGCGTGAGGCACTGGAGCGAGGGGCTGTGTGGGGCTAGGGTCTTCCAAGGCACGGAGCCGCTGGTGGCTCGAGGCCCTGCAGGGCTAGGGTAGCTCGTGGCGTGAGGCGCTGGGGCACGGAGCCCATGGGGCATCCCATGGGTTCAGTCGCCGCCTGTGCCGCAGTGACCCAGAACCCTCACCTTTTCCCCGCAAACTCTGACCTTTCCGTGAGTGACTAAAGAACTCCCTTGAATCCACGTGTTTGCGCCGATTGGGGTGTCACAGCTGCTCGATGGTCTCCTCTGCTGTGGGTTTTCCAGGCCTCAGAGAAGGTCCTCCTTTCCTGGTAAGATGGTGCAGCCTTCCCTCTGAGCCTGTAGCCTTTATTGTTCTTTTTTAATCTCTGTTTTCCTCTTCTTAAAGAATAACCTTCAACATTTCATGTAGTACGTGTTTGGTGGTGATGAACTCCTTCAGTTTTTTCTTGTCTGTGAAGCTCTTTATCTGACTTTCAATTCTAAGTGAGAGTTTTGCTGGGTAGAGTTCTTTGAAGTTCTCATTAAGTTCCTTGAGCATCCTTATTACCATTATTTTGAACTCTATTTGGTAGTTTTCTTGCTTCCATTTCATTTACGTTTTTTTCTGGAGATTTCTCCTGTTCTTTCATTTGTTATATGTTTATGTCTGCATTTTGGCTGTTTCCCTGTGTTTGTTTCTGTGTATTCGATAGATATGTCTCTTGGACTTGGTAAAGTCACCTTATGTAGTTGTCCTATAGGGCTCAGTCACCTGAGCTGGGTACTCCAGATGCTTCCCTGTGTGAGCTGTGTGCACTGTCCTATTGTAGTTGAGCCTTGACTTATGTTGGTGTCACTGGGAGGGATTGACCCCCAGGCCAATAAATTGCAAGGATCAGCTGAAGAGCTGCTATTCAAGAGCCAACCCTATGGAGCAAGACTTTTTGCATTGAGTGCTTTGGTGATCACCAATTCCACCCATTGAGTGTGTCACCTATAGAGATGGTAGAATTGTAATCTGCTGTGGTCGAGGTTCATCCCAGGGTGCACTGACTGTAGCCTTTCAGGAGGCTAAGTTAGCTTCTGCCTGTGCCCTGCCTGGAGCCACCCAGCATCAGCCAGCCAGCATGAGCTACAAATCAATCTTCAGATGTCTGCTACATGTGTGTGTGTTGAGCTTGGAGGTGCCCAGAAGAGGCCAAGCTGTGAACCAGGGCAGGCTGCCTGGGGTGACTTATTGAGCAGTATAGGGCATGCTGATGCCTGCTGCTGCTTTCTTTAAGGAATTTTAGGAAAGTCTGAAGCATGAGACAAGAGAAGCCAGTTGAATGGAAAGCCACTGGAAACAGCTTTAATGGGCCTGCAAGTAGGGAGGGATAGGGTCTCAGGGAATCACCAGGGCAGGACAAAAAGTATGAGTCAGATAATGGAGATTCAGATATGGTTCAGCCTGTCAGCTCTCTCACAGGGAAGGCTCAGCAAAGGAATACTGGTCTCTCCTTCAGTACTTCTGTTTGGGGAAAAAACTGCTCCTCCAGCTCTTGTCCTGATTCCAGATAAGTCAGTTCCTCCCTGAATATTCCAAATTCTTTTCAAGCTGCTACCTCAATGCTGGAGATCAGAGGGAGGGAGTTTAAGTCTGGTGCATGGGCCCCTTTAAGAGCTCTACTTTGGCCCTGCCAGCATGGCTCGTTGACCTATGAACCAGGAGGTCATCGTTCGATTTCTGATCAGGGCACAATCTTAGGTTATGGACTCAATCCCCAGTAGGAGACATGCAGGAGGCATGCAGGAGGAAGTCGATCGATAATTCTCTCTCATTATTAATGTTTCTCTCTCTCTCTCTCCCCCTTCCTCTTTGAAATCAATAAAAAATATATATTTTAAAAAACATCTCTACCTGGGATTCCCACAGCTTCTATGTTACTCAGCCACAATCCCCACTGGTTTTACAGTTAGAAGTTGTGGAGACTTCTCTATCTTGGGTTGGGGAGCTGTTATGTGGCAAAACCCCTCACTCCTCAGGAAAACCTCCACTCCAAAAGTATTCCTCCCAATTTTAAACCACTACACATGTGTGTGGTACCAACTGATTGCTCAATTCCACTCCACATCTCTGCACCTCCTACCATCTTGATGTTGCTTCTTTAATTCTCTAGTTATAGGACTTCTGTTCAGCCAGATTTCAGGTGATTCTGAATGATGGTTATTTTATATTTTTAGTTGTAAATTTTGATGTGGTTGTGGCAGGTGGCAAGTACTGCATTTACCTATGTGGCCCTCTTGACTGAAAGTCTTAAATAGACTTTCTCAATACCATTATATGTTCTGATCTTATTTATCAGATATTAATTGAACATAATGGCATGGGTTTATTTCTGAACTTTCTATTCTATTTCATTGATCTGTATGTCTGTTTTTATGCCAGTACCATGCTGTTTTGATTGCTCTGGCCTTGTAGATATAAGGTAGCAGGATAACTCCAATTTCGTTCTTCTTTTTCAAGATTATTCATTGTCTTTTGTGATTCCATGTAAATTTTGTGACTATTTGTTCTAATTTTGTGAATTAAGCCCTTGGCACTTTGATAAGAATTATATTGAATATGCAGATTAATTTGAGTAGTATGGACATTTTAATCAAGTTAATTCTTTCAATCCATTTTCAAAGTATATGCTTCCTTTTATATTGCATATCCTAATTTGGAGATGTCAGAACCATGTGCTTTCTTTCCTCATCCCCCCAATTCTTCAATTTCTTCTATAATATTTTACTTTCCCCTTGCAATGGATAAAAGATAAATTTGCTTTCTTTATATTTTTCAGACTGGTATGAAATTAAGGAATTATCTCCAAAATGGTACATTGATGATGAAGAGGAAATATCTCAGAGCATAGTAATGGAAAGACTAATAAGACATGATATTGGATGTTCCAGTTTCAGAAAAACTTGGATATATAAGTGTGAATTTGAGAAGCAGCATGGAAATCAGGAGAGGCATTTCAAGCAAGTGGCAAGTCTTAAGGAAATCTATGTTATGAAAAAAGACAATGACTATAATAATTCTGAAAGAAATGTTATCTTGAAGTCAGTACTTTTAACGCATCAGAGAGTTCCCACAGTACAGCCAGTATATAAATTTGATATTTATGATCAAATGTTCCCCCCAAATTCAGTCCCAGTGGAGCATAAAAGACAACATCATGAAAAGGAATATTTAATAGGTAATAAATATGAAAAATTTAACCAGAGTTCATACCTTAGTAAAGACAGAGGAATTCTTCCTGAGGAGAAACCTTATGAAAGTAATGATTTTTCAAATCTCTTAAATTTCCACTCATTACTTACTCAACATCAAACAACACATTTTGGAAAATTACCCAATGAATGTGGTGACGCCTTTAGCTGTTACTCATTCTATACTCAACCTCAGATAGTTCACAGTGCAGAGAAACCACATGCATGCAATGGCTTTGGAAAAGCCTTTAACCACGACTTCTTTCTCAGTGAACATAAGAGAACTCATATTGGAGAGAAAACATATGAATGTAAGGAATGTAACAAAACCTTTAGACAGAGTGCACATCTTGCTCAACATCAGAGAATCCACACTGGAGAAAAACCCTTTACATGCAATGAGTGTGGAAAGGCCTTTAGCCGTTTTGCCTTTGTTGTTGAACATCAAAGAATTCACACAGGAGAGAAACCATATGAATGTAAGGAATGTAACAAAGCCTTCAGACAGAGTGCACACCTTAATCAACATCAGAGAATTCACACTGGAGATAAACCCTATGAATGTAATAAGTGTGGAAAAGCCTTCAGCAGACGCATAGCCCTTACACTGCATCAAAGAATTCATACAGGAGAGAAACCCTTTAAATGTAATGAATGTGGGAAGACCTTTGGCTATCGCTCACACCTTAATCAACATCATAGAATTCATACTGGAGAGAAGCCCTATGAGTGCATCAAATGTGGGAAGTTTTTCCGAACTGATTCACAACTTAATCGACATCATAGAATTCATACTGGAGAGAGACCTTTTGAATGCAATAAATGTGGGAAAACCTTTAGTGATGCGTTAGTTCTAATTCATCATAAGAGAAGTCATGCAGGAGAGAAACCCTATAAATGTAACAAATGTGGGAAGGCCTTCAGTTGTGGCTCATACCTTAATCAACATCAGAGAGTTCATACTGGGGAGAAACCCTATGAATGCAACGAATGTGGGAAAGCATTCCATCAGATTTTGTCCCTTAGGCTACACGAGAGGATTCATATTGGAAAAAAAAAACCTATAACTGTTAATGAATGTGGGAATGATTTTAGCTGTGCCTCGGCCCTTAGACAGCATCAGTAAATTCATAATTAAACTCTCTAATTATAACAAGTACTAGAGGCCTGGTACATGAATTCATGCACCATGGGTCCCTCTGCCAGGCCTGTGGGATTGTGCTGAAACCAGCTCTCTGACATCCCCCCCTGGATTGTGAGAGGGTACAGGCCAAGTCAAGGGTCCTCACTGGTGCACTATCAGGGCTGAGAGGGATATGGGAGGTTTGCTAGCCAGGGCGGGACTGTGAGAGGACTCCAGGGCATGTCTGACCCACCTCACTCAGTCCGAATTGAACAGACCCCAGCAGCAAGCTAACATACTGGTTGGAGCTTCTTCCCCTTGGTGGTCAGTGCACATCATCATGATTGGTTGGTTGCCTGCCCCCTGGTGGCCAGTTCATGTCATAACGAGTGGTTGAGTGACCTTAGCATATCATTAGCACACTAGAGGCCTGGTGCATGAAATTTGTGCACAGGGAGTGTGTGGGGGGTATCCCTCAGCTTAGCCTGTACCCTCTCTAATCTGGGACCCCTCAAGAGATGTCCAACTGCCTGTTCACCCCATAACCACTCCCTGCCAGCCTGATCACCCACTAACCACTCCCCTGCCAGCCTAATTGATGCCTAACTGCTCCCCTGCTGGCCCAGTTGTCCCTAACTTCCCTCTCCTATAGGTCTATTTTCCCCCAACTGCTGTCCCCTTCTGGCCCAGGTAACCTCTAACTGCCCTCCCTTGCTAGCCAGGTCACCCCTACTTCACCTCCTCTGCAAGCCTGGTTCCCCCAACTTCCCTCCCCTGCATGCCTGGTCCTCCCCCCAAATGCCCTCTCCTACAGGCCTGTTCTTTTCCAACTGCCCTCCCCTGCAGGCCTGGTCCCTCCCCTCGCCCAACTGCCCTCCCAGCAATCTAGGATGCAAATCCTTCCTGCCCAGATCCCACTCCGCTCTGAGGAGCAATCTGGGACACCCAGCCTTCCCCCATTCTCCGCAGCCTTCCCCCCACTCTCCTGGTTGCTGGGGTGACCGAACCAAGATGCCAAGCCTTCCCCCCTCCCTGCAGGCTCTGTGGCCATGCCCACACTGCCATTTTGGCCCATCAATTTGCATATTCCCTCCTTATTGGCTGTGGGCATGGCCATTTTATCACAAAGTGATGGTTAATTTGCATGTTACTTTTGTATTAGATAGGATCATGCTTTGATTGGTTGAATGGCCGATCATGACCAGACATGTAGCATATTAGGCTTTTATTATATATGATAAGAGAACATTTAGTCCCCATTCAGTCCTTATTAAATAAATATCAGTAAATTATTTAGTTAGTAATTCTATGAATGTAGTACCTATGGAAAAGCTTTCAGCTCATGAGCATTGTTTGTTTGATATAGCCTGAGTATTAGATATCTGTTTCTTTGTGATATATTACTATGCCTTCTTTGAGACTTTCCTCCCCATAAATGCATATGATTCTGGTGCAATTATTAATCAGTGAGAGCTGTGAATTGGTCATAGGCTGACCAGTTATTTTCCTCAACCTAGCAATTAAGGGATTGGAAAATAGCCCTATCTGGATCAATAGAGCCAGAGGATAAGTATTATTATGGGTAGTAAGAGAAGTTTCAAAGATTCAGTAAGGTTAACTCATCAGCAGTTTTTTTTTTATTGTTTTGTTTTGTTTTTGCCATTACATGAAAGATTTTCCAAGACAAACAACACAGAGGAAAATGGAGGTGAGAGACAGAAATGTGATGACATTGTTTGATCTTTTGGATCCAGTCATGTCTGAAATCTACACCATCTTTCACTTTTTCATTTTTGTGATCCAATAAATTTCTTTCCTTTTTCAGTTAATTTGAATTGGATTTCTGTCCCTTGAAATAAAGAGTCCTGACTCATATATGTATGTTGCTACATATGTAAGAAAGTCTTAATATATTTAATTACATATATATATATATATATATATATATATATATAAATTATACACACACACATACACACATACACACACACACACATTTCAGAGAAATGGAGAGAGAAAGATGACAACATCAATGATGAGAGGGAATCATTTATCAGCTGCCTCCTGCATGCCCTCTACTGGGGATCAAACTTGTAACCTGGGCATGTGCTCTGACTAGGAATCAAACTGTGACCTCCTGGTTCATAGATTAATGCTTAACCACTGAGCCACACTGGCTGGGGTTGATTTTTTTATAGGGTGTAATTATTTATCATAAGGAGAAACTCTGTTATAACAAATATATCAAAGTTAAATACACAGCAGTTATAAAGCTGAATTACTTCACTTTATTGATAAAATTAATTTTGTATTCTGTTTCATAATAGGCATGAATTTTTTTTTTTACCATTACATTGTGTTTATTTTTATATTTATAGGCAAAGGACTTTAACAGGATACTTCTTAGTTAAATCTACTTATAAGGATGTAGAATTACTTACGGCAAAGCTAATGCAAGGAACACAATGTCAATGCACACAACAACATGGAAAATTTCATTATGCTAAATGAAAGAAAAATGTAAAGATTGCCTGCACTATGGTTTTATTTAGGTGATATTATAGAAAAGACAAAAAATTCACCTAGTGATACTCTTTAATTGGCTTTTGTATAAGGAATTAAAATCACTTGTGACAATGACTCACCTTGGGCCTTCAAAGGAAGAATGACTAGCTAAGAGAGTAATGGTTCCATTGGTTTAAAGAATGGCTCTTCAGCTTATAGAAATTGATTTTCTGTTCTCAGTGTGGGTTTAAACCTATTTTGTGTTAGAATATAATAAAACAGAATTTCAAATGAAGTCTTTTATGAGTGGGTTGTAAACTTCTGTTAAGAAATTTATAGATATCTCAAGATATCTATAAATATCTTAGAACTCAAGATATCAGATAAAGAAAGATGGTGACTACTAGTATGGAGCTGAGAGAGAAGTAAGTGTATGAAAGGAGTGTGTGTGGAAGTGCATGGAGTGTGAGTGAGTGAGGGAAAGTTAAATCACGCAGGAGCAGCAGGAGCTGGACAACAGCCTCCCCTGGACAAAGAGAGACTATCACCGCTGCCAGCACTCCCTGGACGGCAGGACTCCAGCACGGAGCCCACGCCATCTTGAACGGCATTTTTTAAAAACTCACCAACAAGATAGGCCTTGGAGCTTCCCCGCTACCCAGCACACACTCTAGCCAGTGTCCTGTGACCTCAGCTGCAGACCTGAGGACACTGGGATCTTGATCTCCAAAGACACACCATTCTGCAACTTGGCTGACTTTTAGACACCACAGTTGTGCCTCTCAAGTTCACAGGCCTACACCAAGAGAACCCAAATAGCTCAAATAGGGAGCTACACTAGATTAACAAACACAGGAAAACTGAGAGATTGCAATAGTAGCACCATACCCCAAGAAACCTGGGCAGCAAAGCAAGTGGATCTGTAATTAAAGCATTTCAGGAAAACATGGGAAGACAAAAAAAGTAATCCCCAAAGGAAAGAAAAATAGGAATCACCAGAAAGGGAGTTAAATGAATTCGAGGCTAGCGGCTTATCAGAGACAGAATTCAGTGTAATGGTTATAAGGATGTTTAAACGGCTAGAGGACAACACAACTCAATGACAATTACAACTCAAGGAGAATTACAATGAGCTGAATGAGAATGTCACCAACATGAAAAGAAACCAAGAGGAGATGAAGAATGACATAACTGCAATAAAAACACAATGGAAGGCTTAAAGAGTAGACTAGAAGAAACTGAGTACCGCATCAGCGAAGAAGAAGACAAGGTAGTAAAAAACATACAAACACAGCAGCAACTGGAAAGAAGACTTAAAAAGCAAGAGGAAAGCCCAAGTGAGCTGTGGGACAATACAAAATGAAACAACATTAGAATAATACGGATAAAAGAAGAAGAGGAAGAGAAGGGAAGAATAGAGAACATCCTGGAAGATATAACAGAAAACTACCCTGATATTGGCAAGAAAAAAACCTATCCAAGTCCAAGAAGTACATAGAGTCCCAAACATGTTGAATCCCAAATGACTGACACCAAGACATATCATAATTATATAGGCGAACACCAATGACAAAACAAGAATCCTAAAGGCTGCAAGAGACAGAAAGTTATGTTCAAGGGATCTACTATTAGAACATCAACTGATTTCTCAACAGAAACATATCAGACCAGAAGGGAATGGAATGAAATATACAAAGTGATGCAAAACAAGGGATGAACCGAAGAATACTATACCCAGCAAGGCTATCATTCAAAATTGAAGGTGGAATCAGAAGCTTCACAGACAAAAAGGGGCTAAAAGAGTTTATCACTACCAATCCAGCAATGCAAGAAATGTAAAGGGGCTGCTATAAAAAGAAGATAGAGAAAGACAAGCAGAAACACAAACACTAAAGGTAAATATGAAAACAAACAGGTTCTTATCAATAGTAACATTAAATGTAAATATATTAAATGCACCAGTAAAAAGACATAGAGTAGCTGAAGGGATATGAAAACATGACCCATATATCTGCTGTCTACAAGAAACCCACCTTAGAACAAAGGATTCACACAGACTGAGAGTGAAGAGATGGAAAAACATTTTTCAGGCAAACAGAAACGAGAAAAATGCTGGGGTTGCGATACTTATATCAGATAAAATAGATTTCAAAATAAAGGCCGTAACAAGAGATAAGGCAGGCCACTACAAAATACTAAAGGGAGCAATTCAGCAAGAAAATATAACTCTGGTAAACATATATGCACCCAATGCAGGAGCACCCAAATACATAAAAAATCTCCTGGAAGATATCAAGGGAGAGATCAACATCAATACAATCCTAGTAGGGGACAATGATTAGGTTAACAATGAGATTAAAGAAAAAATTAAAAACATGCTGGACACTAATGACAATAAGAACACAACATTGCAAATCTTATGGGACACATTGAAAGCGGACCTGAGAGGGAAGTGTACAGCTTTACAGGCCTACCTCAAAAAAAAAAAAAAAAAAAAA